TGAACCTCAAATCTACTATGAACAAGAATACGTTTGAGGTTCAATAATTCGACTACACGTTCCGTGTTTTAAATTTGAAGTATCGTTGTTTAATATTAGGCGCTTATCGAGTTTTTTTTTGACTGAACTAACTAACGCATTGGAAAGAACGTACAAGTTTATTTTGTTGCTGACTTTTACATATTCACAAAGCGTCAACTCTTATTTTTATTCTCCGGTAATAAAATTTTTATGTAGTAATTTAACTAAGTACAGTTTGTTTGGATGACATTCATGATTTATATTCTTTACAAGTTATCGTATAATGGTTAATGTTAAAGTGTATCCAATTAATCAACTCATTCCGGTAAAAGTTTATTTACGTGAATGGTGGTTGAAAGCACCACCCCACACAAAAATAACCTCAATAAATGAATTATCGTTAATGTAAAACTCAAATGGACATTGGGAGTGGTTTTAAAAATCCGTGTCAGTTATTCAAACGCAAAGTAGAACCTGATACGCTTGTTTTATTTATTTATTTTAACACAGATATTGGTACAAGGAGGCACTAAATACATATGCGCCACACAAATCTCATTCGATATGTGTGAGAGCTGTAATACTGCCCGGTAGCCCAAACCGAAGGAGATGGTTTTCTTAGGGGGCCACACCCCCGTTAAAGTTTCCGGTGTGGGCAACCGGGAAGTTGTAACTGCCCTCAGACCTCTAACAGCACTCAAGATCACTCTATTCATAATCAATCTCCCTCTTCAATTCCTATTATTCCTCCTACCTAAACTCTGAACTTTCTCATTTGACTTCCTCATCAAGTGTCACTATGGCTAAGGATTCTAGCTTTTCAGGTTGACAAAAAAGCGGGAGTTAAAAAGTCAAGTGTAAGTGAGATGATCTTGGAAGATAACACTCTAATGTGCTTTCAACCCAGACGTTAAAAATAATGGACTGAACACTTTAGGAAGCAATTCAACCGGCTTTCAGCTACTCTACAACTACCCACCATTCCCAAACAGCGTGAATGGGGCATTGAAGTAGGCACCCCGACTCTAATTAAAGTTCAGAAAGCTATAACTAATCTGAAACGACGAAGAGCAACTGGTCCAAATGGATTGGCTTCAGAAGTTTTTAAGCATTGGGGTCCGGTTTTAGTGATTAGGTTTACCAGTATTCTAGCTAAATTCTGAGAGTTGGACGTAATCCAATCTGACTGGTCGCAATCATTAATTGTCCCAATATATAAGAAGAGGTCAAAGTCATCCTATGATAACTATAGAGCGATTAGTTTAACTAATATAGCATCTAAAATACTAGCCTCAATAACTATTGCACGTTTAACAAAGACACGTGAACTGCAAACACGAGAAAACCAAGCTGGTTCATACCCGGTCGTGGCTGCGTCGACCACATATTCGCCATTCGTCAGATTTTAAAACACAGGCATGCTTATGGGTGTCCGACAATGATGGCTTTGTTTGACTTAAAAGCAATTAAGGGACAAGTATACTGCGCGGCAGTCCGTTCTGTTTTAATTTACGGCTGCGAAACGTGGCCGTTAAGAGTAGAAGGTACCCGTAAGTTACTAGTATTCGATTACAGATGCCTTAGAAATATTGCTTTCATCTGCTGACATAATCGAGTAAGTAATTATGAGGTTAGACGCAAGGTATTAGGGAGTGATAGCAAATCAGTTGGTGAGGTTGTAAATCTTCATCGACTGAAATGGTTGGGCCACGTGTTGCGTATTCCTGAAAACCGATTATCACGACGCGTAATGCTGACTAGTGTTAAGGATGGTTGGAAGGAAGTTAGGGGCGGTCAAACCAAAACGTGGCATTATTCATCTTTCTTCCTTATACACAATCTTTCTTTTACATATGACTTCTATTGAACACCTTCGTAAATATTAAACCGCATTTATGTATCTATTTGTGATAGTTCTTTAATCTCAGTCGCAACAGGTTTGTTGAGACTTTCAAGATAACAGTCATGTCTGAGTCTTTAGCTTCCGTATAACTTTAAATTATAGTTTCCGAGGCCCATAGTATCATAAAAATACCGTCTCGTGGCATTGAAAAACTAGTGTTCACTTCGAAACAATACCAAATAAACAATTTTTTATTTCTAGTTAAGATATTCTTGTTGCATATGTAGCATTATTATTTACAATCATCTAGTCTTAAGTGCCTAAATTTATCTGACTCAATGTGTTTATTTCAGATGGTTTAATGAAATTGAAGGAAAGTGCCAAAAAAAGAAAAGGCAGAGGATTCGGAGCTGGTATGAATTTTAATGCTTCTAAGCCCTGTAGACTCAGTCGGAACGACAAAAGAAGGGTATGAATCTCTAGTAGTGGATGACGGATCGTCAAAATCAGGACCTCAAAGATGTAAGTTGTTACGATAAATATATGTTTATTGTTTACCAGCCGTAGAAGGTTGGATATTGTTTGTAAGGAATGTACAGGAAGAAGCTACGGAAGAAGATATTCGAGATAAATTCTGTGAATATGGCGATATAAAAAATATACACCTTAACCTTGACCGGCGAACTGGTTATTTAAAAGTACGTTCAGCCATCTTATTTACTAATAAATTGCAGGGATACGCATTAGTAGAATATGAGAATTTCAAAGAAGCTTTTACTGCTATGGAACATCTAAATGGTTCTGAGCTAAATGGTCAAAGAATCCATGTGGATTGGGCGTTTACAAAAGGTCCAAATCCAGTCAAAATGTCGACCAAACACAGAACACGTGAACGTAGTCGAAGTCGATCAGTTGACCGTGCTCGGCGATAATTGTACACTCATGCTCTAGATAAAATGTTTTTCTACATATCTTAAATACTTTTTTATCAAACAAGAAATCAGCGTCGGCTTGATCTCTTTCGTTGCATTATTAGTTGTTTAAAGTCACACCTATTCGAGTAAAAAACGTTTGTATTCCTTAACTGCTTCACCATTCAAATCATTTATCATTAACCGACTGATCGTGCAGTGTGTTTCGTTTTGAGGTTAATGTATGTAGTAAGCAATATATTTTGTTGGAAAGCATCAGGTACTTGGATAAGATAACAATCTAGGTATAAAAGCTAGTGATACTACTAGGCTGCCAAAACTGTAGTAGATGGAGCAAGGTTTTAACCTAGGATACATTAGTAACAGGTATACAAATCGTCATTATTTAGGATCGGTTTAAATGAGGAAAACTTGATATCTTTAAGGTAATGCGACTCTATAATATTGCAGTCTCATGAAAGTTTTTTGAGTGGTTTCATCATAAGTAGGTAGATTTATATATATATCTGACATCTACTGTGAATAAGTTTTCATCCCACAGACTATGCCTGATGCATTAGTACCCGGCTGTCGGAATAAGCTAGACGAAATATAATCTTCCAAAGTTTGCCAATTACCCATTCATAACCAGGTGACTAGGTATTTAAATTGATACTGAGTTTAGGTTTATCTTATTTACATTAAAAAGCAATACCTATTTGTCCCATCACCAGAAATCTGTCGCAAATAGGAAATATGCAAGATAAAATAAAAGGTACATAGTCCTGTGCTATTTATGCCATCTTGTTATTCGAAAAACTCAGTACAAGCATTCCTTCAGATGCTTTGGTTCATCAACCTTAACATCCATTTTTAATTCGCTTAGTATTGCAGTGGACGGCGATAAGCAAAACATGATTTAACTTTGAGATCGAATAATTATTACTTACTTAAACATTCCAACCGGTGCTTCTATAACACCTTTGATCGACAAACTCATTGACTTCAAAGAACTTCATGTCACTCAGTATTGTAATTTAGTTTTAGACCGTCTTAGATTCATCGTTACTTGTTGATCTTCTGTGGTCTACATAAGTATGGGAGCGAATTCGTCCTATCAAGGATGGGTAGACTTCATGTGTACTTATCTCAACTTGCAATTCATTAACTCCCAGGAATTCGTTACAATAAACAGATAAGAACAGACATTTTGTTTAACAAAGGCACTTATGGTGTTATTAAAAAATTCATTGGTCGACTAGAGATGTTGCGTTATTACTGCCATTTTGATTAAAGACCAAGCTATACAGTTTGTGTTTAATACGCAAAAGCCACCAATGTTGTGTATGATAACATTGTTACAACTTTAAATGACTAGATATTGAGTGGTTTGACGTATCTAGTAATTTCTCCAGCTTGAGAAGCAAAGCTGAAAGTGACTTCCCAAGACTCATGTGCTTCATTGTCCCTGACAGAATATCACTGGTGATTTCGTCGCAAGAAAAATCCAGTCTAATTTTTCCTATTTCTTTTACGAATTGGGATATTGTATATTTATTTACAATACAATAAAAATCCGGGAGAACATTTTTAGAATGATTTAGTGATGTTAAGTTAATGCAGTCATTTTAAAATGATGTACAGAACAGATATTACCGATATTATATAATGCTCAGATCCCAACAAAAAGTCTGTATGAATTCTAGCTTATTCCACTCACCGTTTTAAGTAACGAAGAGAATTACGCAGATATTACATTAACAATGTTATCTTTTTCTGAATAAATATTTTCTTTACTACTGTATAACTAAAAAAGTGTAGTAACTTAGTCATGTTTTACACATTGTTTCTATCGCGTAGATAATTTAATTGTTTTGTTGTTACATTTCACATAACACTTGATGAAACGATACTCTAAACTACGTTTCGCGAAATTAGCATGAAATACATTTACCACATATTTTCAACATTTATGACGACTGAAATGATAGAATTAGGCAGATGAGTAGCAAATTAATTGTATAAGTTTATTTCAAATGATAGCGTGATAAGTAAATCATTCTACAGGATAGAATCATAAAATGAAGTAATTGCACAATTTCAAGAAATTTAATCCAATCAACATGAGTAATATACGTATATCAAGGTGTATTTACAATTTTATGTTAACAAGAATAATCAAATGATTCAACTGTTTGAAAAATGCACCATGAAATCTTTGGTAATTAGTGTTGTACTTCTGTTCTAGTCTTCGATTCAAGTAAATTAACACATCTTTTTTTGGCATCATATAATTTATGTGTATAAATATATTCCAAAGTACGATCTGGAACGAGGTAACGTACACTTTTACCATTTGATAAAGCATGACGTACGAAAGTAGAGCTTAGTGAATTCTGACAATTGTCTATCACTAAACTTATATTATCCTAAGTGAAATATCGGAAAAATCAGATATACATTGGAAAATAACTAAACAAATATTGCATCTATCAGTAATAATGATTTCTGTGCATGAGTAAACTACCTTAATAAATTTGTGCTTGATTATAAACGTGGGGTATGTGCAATTGACAGTTTAAGAGCATTTTGTAAATTATATATTGATACTTACTGTAAGTTCACTTACGCTGATAATAAATGACTAGCTAAATGCATTACATTTTGCCTTTTCATAAATACACATATACGACAATCTAAAGTTTAAGTATGAATATACTTACCTAATCACGCCTGTTACACCTCATGGAGGAGCACAGACCACTCACCAGCATTCTCCATCCAACTCTGTCTTGAGCAGTTCTTTCCAGTTGCTATTCATCCTTTTCATATCTGCTTCCGATTTCCGACGCAGTGTATTGTTCGGCCTTCCATTTTTTCGTTTCCCTTCAAGATCCCAAGTTAGCGCTTGCCTTGTGATGAAGTTTGATTATTTCCTCAATGTGTTCTATCCACTTCCAACGCCATTTCCTAATTTCCTATTCAGATGGAGCCTGGTTTGTTCGCTCCTACAGTAGGATGTTGCTCATGGTATTCGACCAACGAACATTAAGTATATTGCGCAGACAGCTGTGTATAAATACTTGTATCTTTTCGATAATAGCTGTAGTAGTTCTCTTAGTTTCAGCTTCGTACAGTAGAACTGTCTTGATGTTCGCAATGAAAATTTTGAATTTGATGTTGGTTAACAGTTGCGTTGAGTTTCATACGCTCGTCAACTGTAGGAATGTTGTTCTTTCGTTGCCAATCATCGCCTTTACATCTGCATTAGATCGTCCTCGTTTACCAATGATGCTGACCAGGTACGTGAATGTTTCCATATCTTCCAGAACTTCTCCATCAAGTGATTGAGTTGGTGTTCTCTGTGTTGAATTTCAGAATATTTACTTTGTGTATGTTGAGGCCTGCTGATGCAGAGATTGCTGCTACACTAGTTGCCTTCACCTGCATTTGTTTGTGTGTACGGGATAGAAGTATCAGGTCAACTAACAAGTCCAAATCGTCTACTTGTATCCAAGCTGTTCATTGTATTCCGTGCTTCCCTTCAGATGAGGAGGCCTTCATAATCCAGTCAATCAGCAGTAAAACCATGCTCAAATCACTTTGGGTGGTTTATTTATTTGGACACATAGATATTGATACAAGGGGACACCAGATAAATATGCGCCACACAAATCTCATTTGATTTGTGTTAGGGCTGTGATACTGCCAGGGTGCCCAAACCGAAGCAGGTGGTTTTCTTAGGGGACCACACCCGGAGCCTTCGACCTAAAGGTCTGATCCCCACGGCAGTGGAGCATCCTAAGGAGTTGCGGTCTCATGGTGGCCGGTGACCAATAATTAGTTCATACGCCATTTGTTCCATCAGGATATGGAGTTCATGTGTTATCCATTTCGGCTTTGGCGTTTAGGTCTCCCATCCGGATGGCGAGATCCTTTCTTGGGCACTTCACTGTGATTGATTGCAGCATCTTGTAGAACTTATCGTTATCATCGTCATTGCTATCACTTGTGGGTGCATAACGTTGGATAGCATTCATTGTAATCCCCTCATTTTTTGTGAAGGATGCTTTAATGATCCTGGGTCAATGAGCTTCCCATCCTATAAGCGCATTACGTGCTTCTTTGGACAGCATCAGAGCAACTCACTGAGTGTGTAGAGCATTCTCCCTTCGCGGCTAACGTTTGCTGTCCAGCTTGGGCCCTCTGGGTTTCGCTAATTCCGAGAACCGCCAACTTGTATTTCCATAACTATTTGATTGGTCCTCCAGGTTTCCCACATTGTCCGGACGTTCGATGTACCTATATTAATTGTTGCTATGGTTATTAGAAGGGGTACCTCGTGACTTCCGAAGAATCTCAGCTTCCATCATGAGGCGTCGTAATTTTTCCTTCATCTAGGAGGGCACAGTTTAGATGGTTTACTTTGTTTAATCTGGTTGGCGTTACTTCAGCAACATTTTTCTTCTACAGGATGGGGTTGCCGACCCCATGTCCAACCCTCCTCCTTTACCCGGGCTTGGGACCGGCAGTAGCCCCACAAGAGCTACAGGCGGAGTTAAATTTGAGTATACTAATCTTGAAATAATCGGACTTAATTTAAACGGACGATAAAGCATGACATATTTTATGTTTAGCAAATGATTGCTATCGAGAAGCATGCATTTGGTATCGGCAAGTATTTCGCATTGTGACTGTGACGGTTTTTTTATAAGTACATCAGGTTAGAAAAAGAAGTCCAATGTAGATCGGCATTAGGTGTCTAACATATTTCAGACGATAAATGTTATCAGTTACCAAACATATCCAATTGACAAATGTAGTTATGTAGTAAACAAAGACTTGGTGGGGAAAACCAATTTGTTATTTTATCTAAAATTACCAGTGCTTTCCTAAAATATGAAAACCATACATGCATGCACCACAGTTACAATAATTTCATAGTTCCAGAATGTGATCAACAATGAAATCCAAGATAAGGATTCCGACCTAATTAGGACTTGTCAGCCGGATATATGTATCCCAGTTTTGATTTTCATATTGAACCTCGAACCCAGTATCAAACGAAAAAAATACTAAATCCATATAGCCACTGATATGTTCAGCGGATATGATGTAATTCTCAAGGTTTCGTATTCTCTTATTTATTGGTTACATACCCTAACAATAAAGGTTGGCCAAATACAATCCTGATTATCAATAAACAGAAGAACGAAAATCTTCATAATTACTTCTTATTTGTACTCGTTTTACCCGTAACTTGACGGTATTGCAGGCGGTAACCAAATAAGAAATTTGTAAGCAAACCAATCAAATATCGATTTAACTTCTTTCTCTATTAATTTCAAATCTACATTATTAAGTCATCTGTATATTCCTACTATAACAACAGGTAAAAACAATTCAAATAAAAGCATTTATGGTAATTTCTCATCAGTGTTTCCAAATAATATTCTGTGTAACAAATCAAAACAAATTACCTTATATTTGCTCAAAATGTTTGATTCATTGACAATTTTTAAAGGATCATATGAAGGTCGACTAATACAAATTATACCATAGTCACGAGCAATCGTTTCAATCTGAAAAAAGAGGATAATCTAATAGAAACTTTATTGAGTTAAATTGATCAATAGATGTATGGTTGTCCTATGAAATAAGACCAACCTTACGCATCAGGTAATGTATACTAATTATCATAGTGTTATATTGTACATTGTGACCGATGAATGCTGTGTTTTCCGTCTAGGGCATCTAGCTTATAGAATTCAATACGAGTAATTACAGTCCGTTCTTAGAATGGATGCTTCCGATCATATATAAGTAAATTGTAAAAACAACAATAAACTACAAACAAATAAATATCGTGATTAGTTAGCAAACTGAATAAAATTTTTAATTAACCGGTTATTACTTCCCAACAAGAATCAAAGTATAAAGTAGTTGACCGGAGAATGTACGATGGAACGTTGTTGGTGGAAAAGTGTGATACCTCTAGATTTAATGAGTGAAACATGATACCGCAAATGGCAAACTGAAAAAGGGCTATAATACCAAATGTTTTAAATAATGTACATTGTATTTAAGGGTGATTCTACAGAGATGTCTAGTATATACAATAGGCACAGGGTGACTAATTGAATCAAACTAGCTTATTTTTAATAACCATAGACTTACATCTTCTGCTGACCACAAATTTGGAGTTTTGAATGATTCCAGAAGATCAGCACCACAAACTAATTTCACACAAGGCTTTGATAGCAAAACGTTTGAGGTATTGTTTTTGCGACAGTAACATGATCTATCTACAGATGATAATGAAGTGAAGAGATTGCTGTTGAAATGATCATCATTAGCATTATGTACTTGATTTTCGCTACATTTTATGTTACTAACATCAATAAGAGAGTCAAGATGAAAGCAACTCTTAAGCCAGAGGTCAGTCGCCATGCCTTCTAGTGATGAAAGTTTCGTTTGTTCGTGGTCTTCATTAATTAAACGATCAGTGGCTAGAAAATAAAGAAATTATTAAGTGGATACACCTAAAAGAGTTTACTCCTGACGGATGAAGATGTATGTATGATTGAAAATAAGGCATTCTGGCAGTTAGTGTACTACGGAAGAGATAAATAAAGCTTTATACACTAAAAAGTTGTTACAAAGATCAATTACGAAACTACGACTGAGTACTAGGAAATCGGTTTCGGTAGATGTTTTCTTCTTCTAAGGGGATATTTGTTATGGGGCGGAATATGCATAGATAACTCTAACGACAACTGTGATAGCGTATGCAACCGTTATGCTCGCTTCTAGCGCCTTTCAACTAGCTACTACAAGAGACGAATCTTATTAAGAAGATTTATTTTACATCCGAGTTAATTTAGTTCCATGATCATTAGTTCCAGAGTGATCTGAGAAGTAAACGACAAAATACAATGAAATTTAGTGAATGGAATCCAAGTAAATCCATTAACGTTAACTAAGCGAAAATCTCTCTAAGTCGAAATGAGAACTTATACCGAGTTTCTTCTACGTACGTGGTATATAGGGATACAGCATCGTCAGTAAATTTTTTTCGCAGTAAAAAACACCGTTAATAGACAAAAAGAATTTGTATTTTATGAGGAATTATAGAAAAGTGATGGATGGGCTATTAGAAATTCGGAGATAATCAGTGGGAATCCCTGTACACATTTTCTGTCTGTACGAACTCATCAGTAAACTGTATCAGCAACAAAACAGTTTCCAACCTGACTCCATTTACTTTGGTTTGGGCAACTGAATATTATCACCTGCAAGAATAATCAATGAACCTAAAAGTCAAGTAAGGAAATCTTAACTTGGTGAATAATTTACGTCTGTTCGAAAAACTATACTCTCTAGTGAAGTTGAACTTAAATTGTCTAGCGAAATAGTCCTAAATATTGCTAGTGAGATTGTAGTCAGCACCATATTAAATGATCCACACAAACTAGCTGTAAGATGATAACGCACAATACTCATTTTAAGCATTAAGCATGTAAATGATAAGTAAACGTAGATTAGTGGATACAACTAGAAAATTATACTTTTAATAAAGTGTTACAGTTCAATATTTCAATTTATAACTATTATTTGCTGTAAAATCTAGGAGAAGACATCTGATAAAACCTATTTAACACTTCTTCGGTCACATAGACTAGCTGAATAACTAGTCTTGTCAATACGCTGAATTACATATTTATTAAGTTTTGAGGACAATAATTAATGACTGAGAATATCCAATATACATTGGGACTTAAAGATAAATAGGAATAGTTCTAGATCAATGACTCGGGAACTGTCAGTTTAAGTTGTACAATTAAATGTTTATGAACTCAAGTAGTTTGTAGGTAGAAAGTGTTTATGGAACGGGGCATTATAGGAAAAAGTGATCTTAATAAAAAATCTTCAATAAAACATTGCACTCCAGGTCTGTTTACATGAAATCACCAAAAGTTTCACACATATATAAACGCATTTTAAGCATAGGAAACTCACGATAAAAATTGCTTGGTGCGAAGCAAGTCTTTTTTCTCGGAACTGAGTCAATTTCAGTTTCGTCATTGTTACTTAAATTCGAGTACGTATTATTCAAGACACTATAAATGTGATCTAAGACCACTCGAGTTCTCAACCAACTTGATTGTGAACACTCCCAATTGCTTACGGCCAACCAGTCGGATGCAGAAATACAGGCTAATCGTGTAAGCTCGACGCGTATAGAGGCTGGTAGGAGACCTTTCTTTTCATACAGATTGGACACAGGACTGAATATACCACCAACGACGACTGTCTGATGGTCATAATTTATTGGATGGTCATCACTATATTCTTTTTGAGTGAACTGGTTATTCTCCTCAGACAAAACATGATGAGATTCGTTTGTTGACAAATGCATATTTTCAATCTTATCTCTTGCTAGTTCTAAACAAAAAAATGAGTAATAAACAATTGAGAACATTAAAAGTCCATCTTGAAATAAATAAAATGTAAATGAAAAACAAAAATATCTCGTTTCAGCAGACCTTTTGAATATTTCAATTGATATTATTAATGAGCGTAGCTAAACAGAGGGAAAAACAACAAACAAGTATTTTTATTTAAAATCAAACCTGACGAAGATTTGTTTTCAGACGAATCTGCATGGGATTTTCTTGAATGAACCAACGAATTCTAACTTATTGCAACTACTCGTACTGTTTAGCTTATATTCATAACTTGGCTTTCCCAGACAATTTTAGAGCTAAGAAACAATTATATGAAAGCTGCTGCGATGGTAAGAATTATATTCACATAAATAAATATATACAGGTAGTTGACATCATGCTTCGAGATGACATTTAATAGCTAGTCCGTCATATGCAATATAGAACATATGTGCGACAGATCAAATTGCCATACTCCATTGGGACAGTGAAATAAAATTGTCAGGGGGGAATAACAGAGTAGTAGACGTAGTAACAGTATTAGTGGTGATAAAAGAGATTAGGCATCGAGAATACGATTCCAGAAAATATAGATTACTGGAACAAAAACAATTTAAAAGGTGATTTAGCAGCTAATGATCCAAAGGAAGGCATCTGGATTACTGCGAACGATCCTGAGCCATGTCACCCAAAGCCTCTAACCACTGGTTACGATAATCACGTAGACCACAACTAGGTAGTGTGCACCTGCTAACATGACCCAGTTTAAAAGTCAACATACTCATGGACTGATACCGTTTTTTGGTCTGAACACCCACAACTTCTTTCCAGTCTACTCCTACACTAGAAATTATCGCATCTCAACGTAGTGGGTGGACGACTATACATATTCTGTTCTGACCATTTTAACCGAAAAAGATTACCTCATCAATAGATTTGCATTCCTACCTAATATTCTATCACTAACCCGGGCATTGCTTCAAAGAAACCTATAGTCGAATACTGGTAACAAACGAATATTCTCTATTCTTAATGGTCATGTTTCAAACAAATGTGGTAATACACAGGGGACTACTGAGCAGCAAACTTGTTCTTCGGTTAGTGAACGGATATCTCATCTACTCTATAAGTGATGCAAGTTGGCAAACGGCAACAGTTTTGGATTTGTGTCGAAATTTCATCAAGTATCAACCCAATAGGGCTGATCGGACTTTTGAAATAAATAAAATGGTCGACGCACTCAACTACTTGACTCCCTATCCTTAGTTCAGGGGTTGATGAAGATCCGTCTTAAAGCAACATTTTGCATTTAAATGGAGAGAACCGCATCTGAAACATGTTATTACTGTTGTTTAAGATATTCAAAAGATTCTGGATTTTTTTAGCGTCTTTACCAAACGTAACTACATCTGCGTATTCTAAGTCCATAAGAGAATCTCCTGGTAGATTATCAACTCCCGAAATCTCATACGATAAGTGGTACTGTTTAAAGCATGTCTATGACAGTTAACATGGGGAAAATAGAGAACTCCAACTAACGTCACTTGAAGCCACCAATTTCCATTACAGTTCTCATGAGCTCTGAATCGACCAGTATATATACTTCTTTGGTACGCCACTTAATGACAGACAGTATCGCTCAAGTGGCTTTCTTGAGTCTTAGGGTAACCCTTCTAGGCTGAAAGGACTGAATACTAGCCTGTGCTTGATCAATAAGTTAAATAAAATGATAGCTTTGGTGACTTTGAATGTTTTATAGAAGTCGTTTGATTAACTATCACATCGCGTATTATTTGTCAACGCTAAGTGGAGAAATTGGAAAGGTGATCCGTTTCTCGAATGGCGCCATAGTACGAAAAAAATGTATGAGACGGGGATTTGTCTGTTTATCCGGAATGGTTGCTTTAAGTTCTAGTGACCATAGAACTAAGTGGCTACAGATGTCATAAGATATGGCTCAGAATGGAAATCAGTGGGAATAATGCTCCAGTTTCCATTAGACTCAAAGTGAATTCTGTTATTTGAAAAAAAATTGCCGATTGTATTTCTTTGATCTAGATATATTTATCACTATTCTTTATTCTCACCACTTTGAACTATTTATTTGTTAGCTATACAACCTTACCTCCACTACTTCTTCGAGATCTTATCGCTTTATCTTGTCCAATGAAGTTATGGTGCCATATTGTACAGGAACTCTTCATAAATAAACTCTATAAATAAGCTCGCATTGACGAAAGTAACAGATCTAATTAAGTTTTAAATTAAAGACAATCTTATTCATCAAAAATTGATAAGTGGTAACGGCGAAATATCTGCGCCCTTAATTTTGTAGATAAACATTATTTAAGGATTGCAATATATATGAAACATAGATTCAGATCATTTGGTTGGTTATAATTGACTTTCCGATATCCTATAGATGATGACTGAATCCCGTTAAAACGGGGCTACGAGATTATTTAGGTTGAGTTGTGTGTCTAATCGAAGGATGAAGAAACCAAGCTTCCAATGTAACGAAACATGAACATATCCAGACCCCTTATTACCACAATAACCAAACATTGAATGTATTGATTAAAACGAAATAGACATTATTAACTCTGAATAGTCATTTAGGTGATGTGCAGAAAAAGGTTAATGCCTCATTGTTTTCATTAACTCAATCGCTCCAAAGTCCTTATTAATAAGGCCTTTACTTACATACGTAATAAACTATTATAGAATACTTTTGCATCAATACAAGATGACTTACCCATCATTCGCATGTGCATTACAGTAATTGGATTGAAAGACCCACATGACAGCAGAAACACAGGTTCAATTCTCAGTTGTTTGTTGCACATTAAAGTTTGGTGATTAAATTCAAAAGGTTTTTTATAGTGAATCTAACAGCCAACCGAAATTATTTTGTTGACCTTAGACACATAAAGATTTAGATTTTACTTATTAGTTACATAAAAAGCTAAACTTGAACGATTTCCTAAACTTTTAACTAATAGAACTGCATGAAAACTAGAATATGGTTTAGTGGATAGATTTTTTAAGTTTTCTAAAATTTTATACAGAATTCTAGTTATTAAAGATGTAATTATCATACTCATTTTGCATACTACTAAATTGTTAAACAACTGATCCAAACATTTATTTTTTTGTTTCCATGGTCTTCTTAAACCATATGCTTGTTTTCATGATGCAATGGGTGTTTTTGTCTGTAAAATTTTAACTAAAGAATGAAATTAACTTTTAGACTTAAACCAAATAAAAAGATGTGAGGCTTAAACTTATGTTTTTAACTTGAGTTTCTGAACTAGGCCTAATATAAACCAATTTTGTATTGTTTGTTTGAATCTTCCCATTGATGTTTACGACTGCACTCGATCAGTCCTTCATTGGCACATGTGCAAATTGTCTCCACCCAACTGACTAATCTCAAATAAAAAGAAGCGCGCGTCCTGGGATTCCACTGCCAGCCACCATAGATCTTTGTTTATAATGCTTATGACTGAGGTTATATCGATGCAATCCGCAATGGATGCATATATATCAATGAGACTAATTAATTGCAGTCCTAGACACCAGTAGGACGATCCAAACAAACAATGCGAAAATTAATTATGAAGCTGATAGTACACTCTAATTAGTACTTCGGGAACTTGTGACCATTTGCATTACCATTGAGTAAAAAATAAGTGCATTGAACTACTGTTTTAGATACAGTATCGAGCGCAGGACAAATTTTCATCTACCTAGACCTTACATAATTTCCTTACAACATACGTTAATAAGAAAACAGACTTGTAAATTATGCCTATTAACCAAACTTTTTGAAAAGTAACGGAACAACGGCAAATAATTTTAAACTCGGGAATAGAATGTAATGAAATAGTGAAATTAAAGCTTGCTAAGCATTCGATCGGCAATAACTCAGTGAAATGGATGTAATATCCAAGTCAGTCTTTAATTTTCACACCCTTCTGAAAATTGAAGTTAGCATTGATAGTTGATGAAGTAGAAATGGGGATCTATGTAGGATTCACTTGGATGGACTAGACTGTATATAACAAATCCCGCGTTTCTATAATGCCAGGTTTCTCATTACATGAAGAAACTAGTCTTCGGAAGAGTTCGACAACCAGTTGTCAACTGTAAGTATTCGTTAGTCATCTGAAGTTACCCAATGGACCTAACGGCAACAATTTTATTTATTTTTTTAAACTTAACTATTTATTCAGACAACTTAGCGTTGTTCAATCAATTCAAGTCTGCATCATACGCATTATATATGTAATATGGAGACACCTGATGATCTTAGATTTTGTACTTTCCATTTGCCAGAAAAGTTTTCCACCGGCAGGCTTGATTGTTTAACGCTGTAATATCTCGGTGTTCCACAGTAAGCTAATGAGACCATATAAGTGTTAATTCCACGCGAATGCATTACTGCCGTCTCAGGTTGTCAAGTTCATGCATTAAAGTGCACATAATTCGCCTCTTCATTCAGTTAAACATTGTGTATAAAACGTTGTGCTATTTAATTCAAAAGAAAATTGTCAGGACAATGTTTCGAAACATAAGGAACAAATTTAGTCGTCTTGATGGGGCATATCAAGATGATCTCACACAAACCAACACATTTCGCAACACAGAACCTCCTTTTTAAGGATAATCATGTACCAGGAATACAAATGTGGACTTATTACTTCCTTTCCAGTCTTTTATATTAAATCCGCCGTTTTGTTTTACCAACATTTATTACAGACAATCCATACTACACAACCAGTGTTTAAACTCTCTAACTAACTTATTGACCGGTAGTCCCCAAACAGATTTCGTTTACTTTCTTAAATCTACCCAAGCTCCCAATTTCGTGGAAAATCCCGAATTCCAATGACCTTCGACAATGTTTGGGTAATTTACCCATGTCTGGGAAAATTTTGGGGTTTTAGTGCCATTTCCCCCCCCAACGTTTACTATAGCGGCTTCCCCAAAATGTGCTAAATTTTCCCCAAAATTGGGAGCTTGGGTTAGGGGAGATCTCAGGGAAAAACCCTAAATTTCCCCAAACTTGGGAGTTTGGGGTGCTACACAGAAAAACAAAAAGGGAAAATCCGCATTCTCAGACGGACAAGCAGACATTCGGGCGCGTTTACCCATTATTTTCCAACGCATTTCCCCTTCATTCGCCTTTATTGGTTGCTTGGGGTCGATCCCGAAAAGGTAGCAGTGATCCTTGTGAAGGCAAGACCTTAGAAAGAAACTGTAAATATTCTTAAAAAATTGCGTAGTCAGTGAATATGTCTCTTGGTCACTTTATAACCATACTTAGTACGTTGAATCAGCTGCACTTAATTCCAAGGGCACTGTTTAAACGTTAGGTCCCTTCGAATGTGCCCGCTCTTTCGTTTCAACGACCTTGAACGGCCTGACTAGAGCCGGTTATTCCGCATTTCAATTGCCGTGGGTTGGTTGGATTGCATGAGTTTCAAGTTTTTTCATATATAAGTCATCTTATGCTGCATAAAAAAGCACGAAATAAATACCAAAACCATTAATTTAGCATTCTCTGTTTTGTAGTGTACACTTTGGCTCTGTTGTTGCTTTGTAATTTGATCTTTGATCCCAACAACTGTAGTAAAGCTCAACGAAATGTCAAGTCACAGGTAAATCCCAAGTATTTGTAGTATTTCCTTGGGTTATTAGTGTTGCAAGGAATAACTTTTTAATAATTTGTCATGTCTGTTTTTAGTGCTTCATGCTCAAGTGACATTTCAGTCGACCTTACCCATGCCCTTCGAAGTATGATACTAAACAAGCGTTTCGTGTTGTGGAATGATTTTGAAAGCGCCTTAAAAGAGTTCCAAAAAGTATGGAATTATAATTTTGTCGCTTCTCAGACTACTTATACTCGTTACATCCACACGGAAAGCAGATTGCTAAAGGATGTTAGGTTCAAATACCTTGAAGATGACACAGGTATTCAGTGTTTGACAACGCTTCTACCAGTAACACCTTCTAATATATTTCTATCCCACCCAGAGAAATCAAAAGACAGAGTCGAGGAGATCGGAAGAGTATATTTGGCGATGACCAATATATCGGAATTCTCTGATCTAATCTGGCTAGCGATTGCGGTTGATGTTGAGCACGGCGTTACCACACGTGATCTGGTGCAGATACATGACCGAGCGCCTTCAGCTAGATGAGTCCACTAAAACATGTGGTCAGCATCCAATTTCGAAAACCTAGTGCTATTTATATCGGGGATTTATTTACCGCTACAGATCACTCCCCCCCTAGTGGGGCAGTGACGACCCTAAGACGTGGCCAGCCAGAAGTTTAAACCCAACGAGTTTGTCGTTGGTAAACACTCTTCTGACAGCTTACTAAGTGTAGCAGCGTCTGGTCGTCTTTCCTTACTATATGGGACCAAGGTACAACATAGTAAAAAAAGAAAAAGTTACAACGAAAACTTCGATTTCTCGTAAACTGCATCGTTCATTTCCAGTCGTCCTGGAAAAGAAAAAAGAAAGTGTAAGTGCATGTCGAAATGCACTCGTATGTGTGTAAAAACACAATGTCGGCGGAAAAAAGGGAAAATAAAGTCAAAAACACGTAATAGCGTTAAAAAAATAATTGTTTTGTTTTGTTTTAAAAATAAAAATAAAAATATATGCATATTAAAATTGTTTTTTTTAAAATATTATATATCGTAAAAAGAAAAATCGAGATAATATAAAATGTCGAGTATTGCCTTACGTGCAGTAGTCGTTTAAATGTTCTGGAAATCTCACCCTTCTTCCAGAACGCGTCGTTTTAGGTATATTTTCAGATACATTCGGAGTATCATCGCCAGTGTTGGTTGTCGGTTGAGGAATTATGAGTGTAGGAGTCGTGTTGTGCGATTGTACCGAAGGAAAGTCGACGTGAATAAGATTTCCTTCTAAATACGCTGCTTTTGAGCGATCGATGCTGATGCTATCGTTTGTTCCGTTCTTATCGACTATATAGTACTTAGATTCACGTTGAAGAACTTTGAAAGGTCATTCGTATGCTGATTCGACAGGTCGTCGATGCGAGTCTCGACGAACGAAAACGTGTGTACTATGTCGTAAGTCAGGTTGAACGAAAACATCGGTGGATTGTGGTCGAGTGGAAGCAGGTTTAACTGAACGCGTTTCGTTTGTAAGCCTGTTCGTGTAGGAGGTTAGATCCATGTTCATTGAAGAGGACGAAGGATCCACGAATTTTCCTGGAAGTCGAAGTGTTGTTCCATAAACGAGTTGAGCCGAGTGTATCCAATGTCAGCTTTCACTGCATTGCGGATACCTAGTAAGACGAGTGGAAGAGCGTCCGTCCACTGTGAAACGTTTTCAGCTGATAGTGAAGCTTTTAGTTGTCGGTGAAAACGTTCTACCAACCCGTTTGCTTGTGGGTGGTAGGCAGTCGTTCGGAAGCGAGTGGTCCCTAAAAATGTGGTCAGACGACGGAAAGGATCAGATTCAAACTGACGTCCGCGGTCTGTAGTGATGGTTGAAGGGCAGTCGAAGTTTGCTACCCATCGTTCGACGAAGGCGCGAGTCAGTGTTTCAGCAGTGATGTCCTTGATAGGTACTGCTTCTGGCCATTGAGTGAAACGGTCTACGCAGGTTAAGAGATAAGAGTATCCATTTGAATCTGGTAAAGGTCCTACCAAATCCAAATGAACATGGTCGAAACGAGCATCGGGAGTTTTAAATAATGCTAACCTCATCAGTTAATTGCACACCATAGACTGTCCCATGAGGTGGTGGTGGCCAAAGTGTTTGTGTAATATCATCATTTGTTTCACACGGTCATCAAATTA